AGCCTGATATTCTTATTCTTATAGATTTACTTACTATAATAGATGATTATTTTAAATAGTTCTATCTGAAAAGACTTATGAAACCTAGTACTAATGGTGTTTATTATTTTGATAATATAAAAAGTATTTTCTTTCAACAATCTTTTAAATTTTAGTCTTTTGGAAAATGCCCTCTAACTGGCAAGAGCTAATAGAAAATATTGTTCATGCTTGAGATGTGATTCCCATGGAAACCAGGTGTGGTAGCACCATGGCCAAAGTGCCTCAAGAGAAAGTAGCAAGCAGCAGAAGCTCCTAGGAACAGGAGCTCTTCCAGGAGTTTGATACTTGGTGAACTTAATAAGGTCCTTCCTCTGCCATATCTCTTGTGCTTATTCTATTTTTAACAAGCATGATTATTTTTCAAAACTTTATCACTTGATAAAAACAAATCTAGTCCAAACAAATAAATATTAAACTTTTCATTTCATTTTTTTTTCAATTCTGAGGATTGAACCCATGTATGGCCTTGAAGCATGATAGAATTAGGCATGATAAACAGGAGCCAGGAATTCAGAAACAAATGTAGTTTTATTTAGAAGCACTATCTTAGGCAGGTGCTGGTCACTCACACCTGTAATCCTAGCTTCTCAAGGGGCTGAGTTCTAAGGATCACCATTCAAAGACAGGCTGGGCAGGAAAATCTATGAGACTCTTATCTCCAATTAACCATTAGAAAAGTGGAAGTGGAGCTATGGCTCAAAGTAGTAGATCACTAGCCTTGAGCAAGAAGAGTTCAGGTACAGCACCTAGGCCCTGAGTTCAAGCCCCATGACTGGCAAGAAAGAAAAAAAGAAAAAGAATCACTATCTTCTTTCATAAGCTTCAGTATTAATACAAGGAGAGAGGGGCTGGGAAGGTGGCTTAGTGGTAGCCTTGCATGCATGAGGCTCTGGGTTTGATTCCTCAGCACTACATAAGCAGAAAAAGCCAGAAGTGATGCTGGGGCTCAAGTGCTAGAGCACTAGCCTTGAGCTGAAGAGCTGAGGGACAGAGCCCAGGCCCAGAGTTCAGGACACACAACTGACAAACAACAACAACAACAACAAAAAACCAACAACTGAAGAACGTAAAAATATATAGACAGCACCTAACAGCCATTTTTGCTTCTGTACCTTTGCTTGCTAAAAACTCTGCTAAAACCTTGAGGAGTGGAGTGAAAGAGAACTGGACTGTCCTCAAAGTAGGCAAGCACCCCCTAAATGAATTTATTAAAAGGCATGGAGTAACATTAATGCTTAATGTAATAGAAATTAGAAGTTATGATTACTAACCGCTTATTTTTGCTTCTGTACGAATTGCTTTGTGCTAGATGATTTTATGGTTTTTGTATGATTTTAACTGTGACTGGTTTTAGTTACTCAGTAGTGGAATGTCAGCCTGGGAGCCTAGAGTTACTTAGTAAAAGACTTCAAAGGCTTTACAGCCTTGACCAAGGGCACAAAGTCCTCAGAATTATCCCTACAGCTGCAATGCCCTTCCCGGAGGCTGGGGCAGTAAGGCCTTAGGGAAGAAATATAATGTTTTAAGAAACCTAAGCAACTCCATTTTTGTTTAACACTCCATCTCAGTTCTGCGACTTGACTTGTGATCCACTTTAGCCCCAATGCTAGGAATTTATGACACAAAGCCATGCACAATTCTTGGAGCCATAGATGGCGTTTGCTTAAGGCAGGTGTTAGCCCCAAATTGTGTTGCCCCCCAGCCACCTAGGACTAAGAGTTTCTAACCAACCAGTTCTTCAGAGCCCAGGGCGAGACATGTCATGCATTCTGTTGGTCCAGGTGTGACTCATAACCGTTTTCAGTCAAGCTATGGACCAAGGACATTTTTCTGTAAAGGTCAACCAATCATATTTGCCCAGCTTAAGCTTGCTTTAAATGTTAATCAATCATGTAATTTTTTTATGTAAAAGTTCCTTAAAGTTGTTTGTTCAATACGATAAAAACTGTGCTGATTTTATGCTTGGGGCCTCTGAGCATCACCGGTTACCGAGTGTGCAGAGGACCAAGCTTGAGCTTGCAATAAACCGGCTCTTTGTTGCTTACATTGATTGTGGTCTCTGGTAGTCTTCTGGGGGTCCCCGAATTCTGGTATGATACAACAATAACAACAAAAAACCACCACCACCAACAACAAAAATAAACAAGGAGAGACAAAGAGCAGCTTTTTCCATGTGACCTGCCTGCTGGCCCCAAATTAGTGTCTTTTAAAAACTAAGAAGCGACATCTTAATAAAATTTGCATGTATCCTTAAAAAGCAGATTCTTGGAAAATGACTACTCTTGGCACAAAGTACTAATCTCAAGGATGGACATATGTCTAAAAAAATGGCAGAATGTATCCGTTCTTTGAAAAGATGCCCAAATATCAATAGTCAAAGTTTAATGAGCAAACAGGTTTAGAGACCCTGAGCCCAACTGATAAAAGTATAATACCAAGAGTGCCTGAGAACAAAAAAACACTTAGAATAACTAAGTTAAACTCTGCCTTTATCATATATACACTTGATGTAAATGCGTCTCCCTCTGAGACAAGCTCTTCTGCTTGTCTGCTTGCTCACTTACTCAGTAAAATTCCACCAAATTTTGTAACCATTATGATTGAAATGAAAGCAACAAGCCCAGAAGATCACACAGACACAATCACATAGAGCAAAAGGATTTTATTGCCAGTAGAGGTAACAAGGCCAATTCTCTCACGGGAGAGGGAGAAATGGTGCCTGTCTTTCTTCAGGGGCATCTTTATACAGTCATAGGACTAGAAGCAGGAGGTACTTTGCATGGACAGCAGGTCATGGAAGATCACACATAGGCAGGGCAGAGTTTAAGTGTGGGAAGAGAGCAGGAATATAGACTAATACCAGAGAAACCAGCGTGAGTTCCCTTTGGAGAGTTCTCTTTTCTTTGTGAAAGGGAAGGTGGAATTCAGGTCTGGGTGGAAGGTGGTCTGTTGATGCAGCAGGGGGCTAGAGATGCTTGCTGAGGGCCTAGCTTAGAGAATGTCAAGCCCCAAATGGAAGAGGAAATACTAAATGACTTGCCCTGAAATTCTAATTCTGCAATTGAAGTCATGGACCTGGGGCTGAAACTCTAAATTTTCTATTCTCCTACCACTTAAGCCTACCTCTGGCTCTTGATTCATATATCTAGGCTATGATATTCTCCTTTAATCAGTTGACATGGATTGAAACTACTAAAACTGTGTGTTAAAATAAGCCTTTCCTCCTTCAATTTATTCAGGTTTTTGTCATAGTGATAGGTCTAGCACACCAAGTACACTAGAAATCTATAAGAACATGCCACCACTCCCTATCACATAGAGGAGAGAGAATGGGGAGATTTTCTTTTTTTTTCTTTTTTTTGAGATTAATTTTTTATTTTTATTTTTTTATTTTTTATGGTGAACATACTGTACAGAGGGGTGGGGAGATTTTCTTCCTCGGTTAGCCTCTAACAGCAGAAAGAACAATTATAGGGAAAAGAGGAGACCTGGGCTCCATTTCCAATAGTGGCCCCTGATCAAGTCCCTATGTTACATCAAGTCCCTATGCTGACAAGTGTGGGAACACATCTTCCTGCTCTCTTGCCCCCATTAGAGGTTGAAGGTCAGGGTTGAGATGTTCTATAGCATTCCAGGCAGATACTTCTCATTTGAGTTGGTATAAAATCTGAAATTGACTTGTTATCCCTCAGTTTTGTGACCTCTGAAGCCCCTTTCAACTCTGATCTTTAAGGTTCTGACTATCCAGTAAGACAACTGTTAGGTCTGAATAGACAAGTTTCCTTATCTTGAGGCTCCAGACTAGCAATCTGATTTTCTTACACTTCTACCCATTTCCTCCCTCTTCTCCACAGAAAACCTGCGCTGGTGTTGAGTCATCGCTATCTAGTCTCTGCTCCTGTTTGAATCTTTAATAAAACTTTTTTTTTCTAATTTAGTAGTAGGAGTTACATAAAAAAAAGGAAAATGCAAAATGGCTAAATTCACAGCCACCTCCTAACCTCCGGGTTAAGCAAGGCCTTCTTAATCATGCTTTCTTTACAGTATTGGAGTTTCACCCTGTCAGTTCATCTAGTATGACAGTGTCCCAGGCTGTAACCCACTTTTATCCCCACCAAAAGTCCACACTTAACGGTTCTATACTTAGTGTTGCAGAGTCTATAAGAAAAGTAACTTTCAACTGGGTGCTAGGGGCTCCAGCCTGTAATCCTAGATGCTCAGAGGCTGAGTTCTGAGGATTGTGGTTCAAAGCCAGCCAAGGCAGGAAAGTGCAAGACTTCTACCTCCACTAAACTACCAAAACAGCTGTAAGTGCAGCTGTGACTCAAGTGGTAGAGTGCTAGCCTTGGGCAAAGAAGCTCAAAGACAGTGTCCAGGCCCAGAATTCAAGCCCCATGAACAGCACTAGAGAAAGTAACTTTCTCAGTGTGTGCAGATGGCTCTAGCCTGTAATCCTAGCTACTCTGGAAGCTGAGAGCTAAAGATTGAGGTAGTCTCTGCAGGTTATCTGCAATTAACCATGGTAAAAACCAGAAGTGGAACTGTGGCTCAACTGGTAGAATGCTAGCCTCGGGCAAACAAAGAGCTATGAGACAGTACCCAGGCCCTGAATTCAAGCACGTCTTTGTACACACTAAATCAATCAATCAATCTTTCTCTACTCACTGCAAGCCAGGATCCAGAATGGAAGACATTTAATTACTCCACTCACTGATCAAAACTAACCAGATATATAATCCTACCTTTTTCTGGAAAACAATCAGAGAAAGAGAGCTTGGATGGAATATTTCCAGAATCAAATGGTTGCAACTAGGTTTTATTAATACAAGCAGAGAAGGAAGTTTCCATGGGCCTACCTCACAATTACTCTTCACCCCTAGAGCCATGTAGGAACAAAACTCAGGGAGAGGAAACATGCATGTTGGATAGGAGCCAATGAAGTTGTTGTTTCAGGGCAAGAAAGGAAGAGGAAGTGGTAAGGTTGGGGAAGGGGCATGTCTTCATGCTGTGGCTTTATGTGGAGCTCTCTACAGAAGCATCAAAGTGGACTGGCACATATGGATTCCCTTCACAGGCCACAATGATGTGTCTTTCTTTCTGGCTGGTCCGGTAGGTACAGTTGGGGTACTTGGAGTTACCTGTAAGACGACAGTCTGTGATGTTCATCCTAGCATTGCTCTGGTAGCAGATGCTCTGACCATCCTTACAGGAAATCTTTTTCTGGAAGCAGACAGCCTGGACATCTTCCACAGGCTCATGGACAAAGGTGTTCACTGGCTTGCACCATCCCTGGGTCATATTCCGGTGCTGCATCATTAGGTTGCAGTAGGTGGGACTGCTGGAGGAACCATCTGAGTCCATGTGTTGCCGAAGGAACTTCATGGCCTGGGATTCCTTGCCCATGGATACTTGGACCCAGGTCAGCACCAACAGTGCTAGAACTAGCAGTGGGAACAGTCTGAAGGATTTCTCTGGAGCCATGGTGGACCTCCTGTCCTGGGAGAGCATTGTTGGGAAACAGAAGAGAGAGAGAGAACCTCAGAAAGAGAAGTCCAGCTCCTGTCTGCTCTTTCTAGTATACTGTCTCTTTCACAATAACCATCTTTCACAATAATCAGGAAGGCATTCTTCCTGAAAGACTCTCCAAGAGATGAGACATACACATCCTTCCCCTAGTGTGTATTACTCCAACTTACTAGAGTGGCTATCCTCCCCTCTTGGTGGTTACCTACAATGTCAGTAGCATTTCTGTGTTTACCTTCTGGCATTTCTTTCACCTGAAATTCATTTGAAAAACAAAATATATTTGAATTCCATGCTCAAACAGCTCATTAAAAGGTGATTTTGAATAAGCCACAAGCCAGATCATATTTTTGAGTTATTACTGTAACATTTAATGCCATGGCTGACAGAGCCTTCTTGTTTTACAACACAAGGGAAACAGTACATGGGGGTTACTGACTTGGGATTGGAAGGGATCCCATTACATTCAAAAGACATGTTATCCCAGCTTGGGGATTCTCTCTTCTCCACAGCCCAGGATTCTTGTACTTAGTTGTGAATACCCGCCCCCCCACTCCCTGCTTCCAATTGATGTTTCCCTGGTTTGAGCTTTACTGAGCTAGTGTCAGCCCAAGTTTTTTTCAGTGCAAGTGCTACCCACCTTGGCTCCCCAACTTGCCCAACCTCTGAACAGAAGTGGATCCTGACATTACCTCCCAGATCAATTACCTGTCTCCAGCTGGGGCTCCTGTGCAGGGTGGAAGGCCGGTTTCTGCAAACACTCAGGTCTTGGGTCTGAATCTTATACAGATTATGAAGGGGTTGGCTTCCAAGAAAAGTGGGAGGAGCATCTTGGGCTCTGTTCAGATAAAAACCAGAGCTTTGACAGGTAAGGGTGGGAAATCACTCAGGCCAACCTCACTCCACTGCTGCTGAGGAGAGTCTAAGGTCTCAGAGTCAGCTTACCCATTAAGGCCCCTCCCCGTGTCCCTACCTGTTTACAAAAATCCATTGTTTCTATTTCCCAGATGCTTCATTATTTTCCTGATGTGACATACAAATTCCCACCCCAGTTGTAACAGTCATGCTACACTTCTCCAAACTGACCCTAACCCCAAATTTCCATAGTCTATGTAATGTAACCAATGTGACTGTCCATGTGGCTACCCCCTAAAGTTTTTGTTTAAATTCAGTCCACACTTGCCCATGGCTTGCTGCCTCCATTCCTGCTTGGAGCAGCCCAGCAGGTCTGTCTCCCAATAAAGCCTTGAGCTTATATTGGTCACTTTTGCTTGCCTCTAGTTTCTTAGAGACAATGTGTCTTTGAATATAGGATGCTATAGAAGCATATGAGTCTCTATTTATTCACAGGAATAGGGCAGGTTAGCTATAGGGAAAAGAATGCTGAAATGGATGGCCTTAACTAGTCATACCTGGTTCTTTCCTCCCTCACTATATACTTTCAAATAAATATAAAAAGAGTCCTACTCAGAAGTTGGAATCTGTAGCAACTAACAAAGCATTTAAAGCTGATAGCCTAACCTCTACCACCTTAGGAGCCACTCCAATATCTTAGGCCCTGCTGTAAAGCATGGCCTTTCCTGAAATCTGGTGACACAGGCCCTCCCCGCAAATTATCTGACTCAGGCCTTATTTTGTTGGGTGACATTGGCAGCTGCAACCATAAACCCTAGCCCCGCCATAACAAACTTCTTTGCTCGGGGCTGGGAAGTTGGCTCAGTGGTAGAGCGCTTGCCTTGCATGCCTGAGGCCCTGGGTTCAATTCCTCAGCACCACATAAGCAAAAAGAGAAAAGCTGGAAGTGGCGCTGTGGCTCAAGTGGTAGAGCACTAGCCTTGAGCTGAAGAGCTGAGGGACAGCGCCCAGGCCCAGAGTTCAGGCCCAAAAACGGGCCAAAAAAAAAAAAAGAAAGAAAAACTTCTCTGCTCTCATGCACCTCACAAACTCCACATCCCACATAAACTAGACTGCAGAGTACCTACCCCCTGCTCCTAGTAAAAATTCTCCATCCATCTCTCTAGTAATATAACCCTCTTGCTCAAGTAGTACTGTCCCTGCCCAAGAGGGTCATCCTGACAGCTTGCCTACAATTAATTTTGCTGTATGTGACTTGGTGTCCAAGTCTGGGTTGAGGCTTTCAAAAGCTTTTCTCCATTTACATGCTAAATTATAAGGGTGATGATGTTAGGTCTGCTCAGGAAAAATGGCCCTTTCCCTTTTGTTTCCCTCCATGCACACATGGGCCCTTTCCTAGAAGTCTCTGCCCAGCACTCATAACACAGGTAATTGGAGCACCTGGGGCAGTGGAAGGTGCTCCCCCCCCCCCAAGGCTCTGAGGTCTCTACTGCAGTCCTGCCTCCTTCCCACCCTTTGCTGCAGCAATACCCCCTCCCCAACCTCTATATAATCAATCTCCATCATGAGTTCCCCCTGCTTTGTATCCTCCATCTTGTGGGGGGAGGCAGTTTGTTCTTCCCTAATAAACTCTTTCCCACCTAAACCCTTGTGGTAAACCTTACAGGTGAGGCTTAGGGTGGCAGGTGTAAGGTTCAAAGAAAGGAGACCTCCATGTGGTTGTTCAGGCACAGGAGAGTTTATTAGGAGAAACTGAACCTGTTCACCTTGTACAAGATGGAGTCATGCTGAGGGCTGTACCAGATGGAGGTGTGAAGAGAGCAGAAAGAGGGAAGAGGAAGGGAAGTAGTGCAGAGAGGGAGGTGTGTAGAGGAAAGGGAAGGAAAGGAAAGGAAGAGAAAGGAAGTAAAAGGAAGGGGAGAGGAGGAGAAGGAAGGGGAGGGGGTGTACTGGAAAGGAAGGGAAAGGAAGGGAAGAGGAGAACTAATCATGGAGATTGACTTTGTAGGAAAGTGACCTCAGAGCCTGGGAACTCAGTCCAAAGGAGGCATGACTGAGGTGGTGAGGATGTGACCTCAGAGTGATGATGAAGTGATCTCAGAGCCTGGGAAAACTACCACTGGCTACTGGTGCAGCCAGCTTACCTAGGCTACAGATGCTGGACAGGGACTTCTAATGAGGACCATGTGGGCATGGAGGGAAAGCAAAGAGAAGAGGTCATTTTTCCCTGATGAACTTGTGGGCTAACTATCTAAATCTGCCTTCTCTTTTGAGAAGGTGAATGTTAGGTCTGCCTGGGAGAATGGCACCTCCCTTCTATATAGACTTCACATGTCTTCCCCCTAAGAAGTCTCCACCCATCACCTGTGTTACTCAGGTGACCTGCACACCTGGAAGCAGTTACCTCCCCTTTCTCTGAGGTCACATCCTGAACAGCCCAGGACCAGAGGTTCCCAGACTCTGAAGTCACAGATTTGCTATGGCCACACTTCCTCCCTGCCCTCTCCCTACCTAACCCCAATCCCACCAGGAACCTACCCTTCCTCTACATGAGCTGCACCACATGTGGGCCAGCAGTTCTGATACCTCTAATAAACTCTTTTCTGCCTGAATGACCACATGGAAGTTCCTTTCAACAAATCTTACAGTAAAAACTGGGCTACTTTGTAAATGTGTGGGATAGTGAGGTGGGAGGCGTTAACTGAGGAAAGGAAGCCCTAAAGCTTAGCTAAGGTACCTGTGTTTCAGGCAGACCCAAAGACATCTCCATATTTTAGACTAATTGTTGTAAGATGAAATTATCCCAGAAGCCACATTTTGAAGGTGGAATATTGGCGTCTTTACTACACAATTAGCAGATGGCATGCAGCCAGTTGTTAGAGTCCTGCAGCCCCCAAATACACACACCACAGCTAGGAAAGAGGCTAGAGGGAAAAAGAACAAAACCAGTTCAGCTTCAATGGAGAGCTGAATTGGGATGCCATGATAACTGAAGATGAACCAGGAGACAGGACACAGGACATGTGGACATATGTGGCAGGGTTGGACTGGTCCGGGTTTAAATAGGTTCCAAGCAGGGGGCAGATCCACAGGAAATTCCCAGTCCCAGGCACTGGTCTGACAGATTCTGGAACTTATCAGCCAAGTGCCCACCCCTGTTTCCAGGCATCCGGGCACACCCATCGCCCAGGAGGCAGGTGATGGATGGAGGCATTTCCTTCCCCCAACAGAAGACAAGATGCCAGACCCTACCATCCACCCTGTGGCCAATATGGCACTGGCCAGACTAATCTCCTTAATTTATAATAAGTAACATCTGCATAGGTTTCCTAGACCCTTTGCTAAAGGGTTGCAGATAACAGCTGCCATTTTCAGTCTTTAACCTCCATTTCCTGCATAGGGAACAGAAAATATTTCCTTCTTTCTCCTTTAACCCTGTTAAACATTTAAAATAAAGACTTGCTAAAACTTCCATCTTGTGAGTCTTATTTTTGTGAGACTCTATGTAGTTTTGTGTGGAAACTGGGAAGCTAAGGGAACTCTTGAGCCATTCTTCAAAGATAAATGTGCATATATGAAAACAGAGCCAGATAATGAGGGGATGGGTGAGGTTAGGAGGGAAAGGGAGAACAATGAAAATGGGGACATTGATCAGATGCTTTACAACAATAAATTGGCGCATTTTATTGAAACCCCTTTGTACTGTTGTTATACCGAAATTCGGGGACCCCCAGAAGACCACCAGAGACCACGATCAATGTAAGCAACAAAGAGCCTGTTTATTGCAAGCTCGAGCTTGGTCCTCTGCGCCCATGGTAACTGGTGATGCTAAGAGGCCCTGAGCATAGAATCAGCACAGTTTTTATAGTATTGAACAAACAACTTTAAGGAACTTTTACATAAGAAATTACATGATTGGTTAACATTTACATTTAAAGTAAGCTAAGGTGGGCAAATAATGATTGGTTGACCTTTACAGAAAAATGTCCTTGGTCCATAGCTTGACTGAAAACGGTTACTAGTCACACCCGGACCAACAGAATGCATGACATGTCTCGCCCTGGGCTCTGAAGAACTGGTTGGTTAGAAACTTAGTCCTAGGTGACTGGGGATGGGCAACACCATTTGGGGGCTAACACCTGCCTTAAGCAAACGACATCTATGGCTACAAGATTGTGCATGGCTTTGTGTCATAAATTCCTAGCATTGGGGCTAAAGTGGATCACGAGGCAAGTCGCAGAACTGAGATGGAGTGTTAAACAAAAATGGAGTTGCTTAGGTTTCTCAAAACATTATATTTCTTCCCTAGGGCTTTACTGCCCCGGCCTCCGTGAAGGGCCTTGCAGCTTTGGGGATGATTCTGAGGACTTTGTGCCCTTGGTCAAGGCTGTAAAGCCTTTGAAGTCTTTTACTAAGCAACTCTAGGCTCCCAGGCTGACATTCCACTACTGAGTAACTAAAACCAGTCACAGTTAAAATTGTACAGTGGTTAGTAATCATAACTTCTAATTTCTATTACATTAAGCATTAATGTTACTCCATGCCTTTTAATAAATTCATTCAGGGGGTGCTTGCCTACTTTGAGGACAGTCCAGTTTTCTGCCTCTTTCACTCCACTCCTCAAGGTTTTAGCAGAGTTTTTAGCAAGCAAAGGTACAGAAGCAAAAATGGCTCTTAGGTGCTGTCTATATATTTTTACATTCTTCACTGTCACCAGATGCAGGTGAAGATTAGTGAAGTTTTCCTCTAAAAATAGGGACTCTTCACTTAAGTTCTTTGACTTTGATCACAGAATAAGAATTTCTGGATAAGTCATAATGGTAAGAAAACTTGGCAGAGTTTTGTTAAGTAAGCAAACAGAAACGTCCACATGTAAACAGATAAGCAGAAAGAGACACACTACCATGCGGAGGCAGGCCGAAAGATTAT